TTATACCATTTATGGTATTAGATTAGTAATTATTATGTAATAAATAAGTTAAAGGGAATAAGGCCCAAAAAGGTCTTGGCCCAACTTCCAAGGTTTACCTAAATCGGTAACCTGTACAGCGCCTATAAATATGCGCCTTGTGTACAGGTACCGATATCGATCAATATACCTTAGCCTTACGCTGCCAAATTTCTTCTCGATACAACAGAAAGAAGGTTTCACTGTTCTCGATAAATCTTATATCATTATATGAAATCTTTCTCTTCTGTTTATCGATGATGTTCATCTAGCTGATCGTTAGTCTGCATAAACTGGGACCAACAACTGGTATCAGATCCTGCTCGAGTGTGATCGTCGAAGAAAAGTTTTCGATGTTCTCCGTTTTTCATACTTTTCGATCTTTTTCGTTTTAATCACTGTAATCTTGTTTCTGATCGATAAACTGTAAAAGTTATACCATTGGATTCGCCATTCAGAAACGAACCAAGGGTATATCTTACTTTTCGATTTCAGTAGATTTAGTAATCTTGATTTCTCGATAGTATGATGTCGAAAAGCAGAGTTCTCGACATTGTAGCAGGTTTTTCGAGCTGAAAATCATTCCAGGAAGATCTCTGGATTTAGGACTTTAAACTTTAGCTGTTTTATCTGCTTAAAACTAAGTTTTTGAATTGCAGGATCTCGATACTGGCTTCTCGACATAAGTTCTCGAACTGAGTTCTCGAACTGAGTTCTCGAACTGCTGTTCTCGATACTCAGTTTTCGACATTATATCTCGATACCTTGTCTTCGATTTGCAGGATCTCGATATATCTTCTCGATAGTCAGGTTCTCGAAACCAAGTTCTCGAACTCAGGTTTTCGATACTGACTTCTCGAAAGAACTTCTCGAACCCAGCTTCTCGATAGCAGGGTTTTCGATATAAAACATCGAAAACTGCTTCTCGAAAGAGCTTCTCGAACTCTGTTTTCGAACCTACTCTTGAAACTTAGGTTTTCGACATTCTGCTCTTGACAACTTAATTTTATCTGATCAAAATACTCGAACGATCTTTTAAGGCTCAATCAGCAAAGATGGAAGCATTAGCACTTGGAAATGACAACAGACCACCCATCCTCAGAAAAGGAGAATATCAGATGTGGAAGACAAGATTCTTGAACTTTCTGGAAGGAAAAGATAATTCATCTGCCATGCTTGAATCGCTCACACAAGGTCCTGCTGAGATCTATACAGAAGTAGATACCTCAGATGTAAACAACCCCCCTGTTAACTTTGTGAAAAGACTGAAGACAAAAGGCGAATACACTGAAGCTGACAAGTTGAGAATCAAAGCTGATCTCATGGCAAAAACATATCTGCTGCAAGCTATCCCCGACGATATCTACATTCTAATAGACAGCATGGAGACAGCAAAGGAAATGTGGGATGAGGTGAAGAAGTTAATGATTGGAACTGATCTTGGTTTGAAGACAAAGAAAGCGAACATCTTGACTGCCTATGATGCTTTCAAAGCCCTACCTGGTGAGGCGCTCCATGAGACGTATAACAGATTCGTACAATTGATCAATGAGATGAGAAAGATCAAAGTTGTCAAATCTAATATGGAAATGAACATACGTTTCTTGTCGAGCCTGCCGCCAGAATGGAGAAGAACTGTTAAGAATCTACGACAGCACCTGGATTTGGATGAACTTGACCTCTGCACTGTCCATGAACATCTACAGCAGTTTGTTAATGACACTGCTGAGATGGAAGGAAGCTTCTCTTCTCAACACTGTACATTTGTTGCAATAGACAATGACCCGAAGAGTTTTCTTGAAGCTAAATAAACAACATGAAATTGCCAAGATGTTCATGCTATGCGGTATCTCAATTCTCCATCCAAGCCAACGTCCCCACTACAAGATTTTTGCTAGGAAGCTCTCCGGCACAGGGTGCAAGATATGTTAATTGCTTCCTGAAACAATTACTTAATAGTAAGCACATACTCACCGGTGTAGATAAAACAGCATAAATTTGTCCGCAGAAGAAAGGCAAGGGCTTCAAACCTTTTCATGTCAATCTCAGTGATATAGATGAACCCAGCAACATTACTGTCACCCCAAAGAAGAGTCAGAAATTAGATAAGAAGATGAACCGGTCAACTCAACAAAAGGAAAACCTTCAGCAGGTCAGCCATACATTGGAGCAAAAGAACATAAATAGAATGCTTTGAGTAGTTTCTCTTTGTACTAAAAGATTAAAGAGAATTCTTTGAGACCACCACCATGGACATTTCCTTACTGCATTTGGTCAAAAAACCATGGCTGTAGAAGTTGGGGGTAAACGTCTGCCATATTCTTAACATTCGAAAAGTGGAGATTGAATCACTTTTAACAACAAGACTAAAGGTAACTAGCATGACAAAATAGTTTGAGAATCCCTCATATTTGTAGAGAAGGGAATGTGGTTGCTCACTGAAAATAAATTTTAATGAAAACATAAAATTCATTGGCTGGAGAGATCTTATGAAAGAGTGAAGGCAGTATCATTACTAAAGTGAGGGTATTGGTTATATCAGGAAACGAAAGAACAGTTGAACTGAATTGCAGCCCCCAGCTTCTGCTAATTTTCTGGCACTGTTTTGTTTTAAATTTTCTGGCTTGGCCTTACCTAATTTGTTGTGGATTGGGTTTGCACTTGTATTCTTCAGTTTCTTTGTTTTTCTCTTGAGGGTATGCACCTGTTGGAGGTAATTGGGATTAAGCCCCCATTCTATACTTTGTTTTCTCTTCTATTAATTCTTCATGTTTTTTTAAAGTACTACCCATCTGCAAACAAGAAAACGGAAATTTCCCAAAATATTTTCCCTAAATAGGAGTAATATATTTTTCCCTTCATATTATATTGCTATAATTGGGCATTGCAGGGCATTAACGTGAGAGTATTAATGTCATCATTGACAGTATTTTCTGAGCTAGAAATAATATTGGAGAGGAAAGGATTTTCTGTATCTTTATTGAAGGCACTACAAGAAATCATACGCTTTATGACGAAAATTTGAGTGACACAAAAAAATGGTCACATATTGTTGAATTATTATTATAAAACACAAATTCGTCATTATAAAATGACTTTTTATGACAATGCCATTTATTGTCATTTATTGTCTCACTTTTCGTCACTTTGATATAAAAGATGACAATAAACTCATCTGTCACCTAAACTTTGAGCGCTAAAATGTGACGTCAAATTTTGTGACAAATTAATAAAATTAATGACGATAACTTGTGTCACATAATTTTAAGTAAATGACAAATTCATATTTAGTCATTAATTAGTAAATGCAAATGCATCATAATTTTAGTATTTAGTAAAAAGTTTTTTGCTTCATCAACCGATTGAAGTTTGCCAAGATTGGGGAAACAGGAATAAGATTGAAAAAATGTGTGAGTGAGATTTTTTATAAAAGAGAAAGAAATAATTAGAATAAAAAGGTAGTTAATTTAAAGAGAAAGTTGAAATTTTTTTTAGGACAACTAATATCGAAAAGTATTATATTAAGAAAGATTTATATTGTGCACGCCATTTGTACGCATTTTGCACGCGACTTTTATTTATCTGTGTGTAAGAAAAATCTCATTTTTTGAGGTAATATTCTTGGCGTGTAAAAAGTAGACATGTACACTAAGCACGACAGTTAGTTAAGAACAATAGAGGATCACAAATTCAAGAAATAATTTTAATGAATTTGTTGGTTCGCTTATGTATTTGTCAAACTTGTCACAACAATTTAGTAACGAGTAAAGGTCAGTTTGGTCATCGAAGTTGCAAAAAAGGGGTCAAATAAGTCCTTATATAGAAGATTCTGTCCGGACGTGCCATTTGAGGTGGCTCCCGGTAGAATTTTTTGATGAAATTTTTTAAGTATCTTATTCATTAAGTCTAGTTTACTCATACCAAATTTCAGTTAAAAATTCAATCGGGGAGACATTCAAATGAATTCTTGAAGATAACTGCGCTTTTAACGGCACATTTATCTTCAAGAATTCATTTGAATGTCTTCCGGATTGAATTTTTATCTGAAATTTGGTATGAGTAAACTAGACTTAATGAATAAGATGCTCAAAAAATTTAATCAAAAAATTCCACCGGGAGCCACCTCAAATGACACGTCCAGACAGAATTTTCTATATAAGGACTTATTTGACCCCTTTTTTGCAACTTCAAGGACCAAACTGACCCTTATCCCAATTTAGTAACAATGGAGGATCACAAATCCAAGAAATAATATACAAGGCTTATGTATTGTTTTTTAAATAATTTTAAAAAGCTAACCAAAATTTATATTCATTACCTTAAAATCTCATTAAAATTATTGCCCTTATAAGTTTTAATTCAAACTTTTAATTCAAAAATTGTTGCCCTTAAAAGTTATGTAATACGTAGTAACTTTTAAGGGACAGAGAGAGTAATACTTTAGTATATTGTAACGTTTTTAATGATAATAACGGTTCAAAAAAACAATAATGTTAATACTAAGGTTGTTTTTAATTGGAAGAAAATTTTCTGCTCTGATTTAATCTAGTATGGTTTGTAAGTCTGGTCTGATAAATGTTTGTATCATGTGTATTTTATTGTAATTGTCAAAATATGTTCTAGTCTGATCTATTAAAATCCGGTCTGGTCTGTTTAATCTGGTCTGATTTGATTGTTTAAGTCTAGTCTTGTCTATTTGAATCTGGTTTGGGATTGAAATAAGTTCAAGTAAAAATGTTTCAATAGTAATAAATAATACTCCCTCCGTCCCTAAATTAACTTCCAAAGTGCATTTGGCATAGGGATTAAGAAAAGACCAAAAATTTTGTGGTGGAGAGTTGTACAAAGGAGAGAGAAATGTCTAAGAAAATGTAAGAATCGTTCTGAACCATAAATTTTTTACCAAGAAGGATAAATAAAAATTTATAAAAGGAAATTTGGGAGTTTAATTAGGGACAATGAGAATACTCCTTCATGGTACATTGACATTTTGATAGTTGCGTCCAGTTTACGCCTTTAGGAAGTACAGAACAAAGCTTTTAGATTTTCATATCCGCCGCGGCTATTTCAATTCCGAAAAACCCTACGGTGCGTAGTATCAACGCCTACTTCGAATCAGTGCATTCAAGACCCCATCCCCAAGAATCACTTTTCTTCCTTCAATTAACTGTGATTAGAGACCGGCGGCTACCCATGCTAGCTACGAGGACAAAGGTGACTACCACAGTACCATCCTATTTTAATTGTTGCGGAACTTGAACAGGTTTGCGATTTTGATATTTGAATTTTTCTCCAATCCTTAGCTTAATTCTTGTAAAAAGATTTCTCAGATGTGGGTGGCCGTATGAATTGGACGGTTTCTTGCTTGAAGTCTTATTGATATTGGGAGAATGATTATGGGTTGTATTTTGTAAATTAAGTGATTATTGTTTGAAGCCCAAATATATTTCTGCACATAGCATTTATTTGGTTCAGACTGTCCTGCAACTTGATGTCATTAATAATATTGTATTGACATTTTAAATTTATAGTTTTAAGTATATTTAAGAAGACCAAAATATACACTTTTCACAGGACTGTTCTTTTAGGGCGCCCTACCCTGTTTTTAGTGTATCTGTGTACGTACTCTATTAACTATGTTTTGGATCATCTCACCTTGAGTGAATATGAATTGCACTAGAGCTGGATGGATGAAATAAAATGGCTCAGCACTTTTCTTGATAGGGTAAACGTGTATGAAATTTTTTGAAACATATAGAGCCCGTTTGGTAGCACCAAAATCGGCTGTTTTGGCTGATTCTGCTGAAATTTATGATATTCTGGCTGGAGTGGCTGTTTTGGCTGATTCTGCTGATTTAAGAAAAAAATATTTTAAAAATATATTTTATTAATAAATTAAAGAAAAAATTATATGTAAAAATAGCTAAAATGGTCCTCTACAGTAACTTCAGCCAATACAGCCAGAAAAGTAACTCCAACCTTACTTTTTCGGCTTATTACACAATTCAGTGCGCGAAAGTAAAAGTTACGTGTTTGGTGAAAAAGCTGGCTGATAAGCCTGATAAGCCGAAAACAGAGTTCTCCAAACGGGCTCATAATAGTCAAGAGGGAGACATTACTAGTTGTCCATGGGCATTATGGGCCTAATTTTACATTAAAAATTAAAAAAAAAACGGTAATTTATTTTGCAGAATAGATCCAAAATATACTACGGGAGTGTATGTTGCTGCTTGTACTTTGGAGAAATAATTTATTTTAGAGATTTTGTATAAATGATTAATACTAAAAGTCGGTGGCTGTGTTTCAAAAGAAAAGTGATTTTGAAAAAGTATATGTTACTTTGTAGAGTTTTTCGTGAAAAGTACTTTTTTGTTCTGAAAAAAATGAGGAGCAGTTAAAAGCACTAATTCCCTTTCTCTAAGCCGTAAATAGATTAGCAGCTTAACTTTAAGTACAAGCACCTATTTAAATAGACTACTTTTTAGCTTTTTTAAAACAAAAAACTAATTTTTTCAATTAATCTCAAACACTCCCTACATTGTTTTACTGTAGTGAAGCATCAAGTTCAAGAAGTTTTGGGAGGTGTTACTTCGCTGCTAAAGTCACAGTTAAGTTAGTTAGTAAGACAGATGAAGTAAACATGCACACTGCTTAAAAAGTCGCTTACTAACCGAAAGAGGTGCTTAAAGTGCCGCTTACTAAGCATACCACCCCCATGTATTAATTAAGCGGCACTTTAAACTTTTTCAATTTTCGAATATACCTCTTGCCCTCTTACCCTATTGTTACCCCTCTACCCGCTATCTCACCCCCGCCCTACCCCTACTACCTTGACCCCGACCCCACACTACCCACCGCTGGAACCCTACCCTACCTTACCTTACCCCGACCCTCTACCTTATCCCCTACCCATACCACCTAACCCACCCCCTACCCAACCCTACCCCTACCACCACATGCCCCTACCTCGGCCCCACCCTTCGATCCCGGCCCTACTGACATCCTACCACCCTACCCCTACCTTACCCCGACTCACAACCCCCTACCCTACCTTACCTTACCCCACCCTAACCCTGTCATACCCCTACCCTATATTACCCTGGCCCCGACCCCACCCTAACCCCCTACCACATGGCACATGTCGTACCATCCTACCCTACCCTACATTACCCCTAACCCCTACCTACCTTACTCCTACCCGACCCTTACCTTACCCCGACCCCACCTTACCCCTATCACATGCCCCCACCCCGATACCGACCCCACCGTACCCCCTACCGCCATCCTACCCCGACCCCACCCCCTATTGTGGTTGGTAGGGGTGTAGGGGGGCGGGGTAGCGGGTTAGGGGTATGGGTACACGTACGAGGTGACCCCACATATCATATTATATACTTGTATTCATGAATGTTTGTGTGTCTATATATGTATAGAGTTATTTTGGACATTTTAATGTTAAACGGTGTTTTAAACCCTTTGAAGTAAACACGATCTTACAACATTGTTTATTTTATACGCCGCTTATTAACGCGGATCTTAATAAGCACCGTTTAGTAACCCGTGAAGTAAACGTGTCCTTGGTCTTCTTATTTGCTTCAATAAAGAACAGAACATTTTTTTCAGCATAAGGAATCTTATATCAATACCAGATTTCATGAATGCATTGTTTATCTATACTTTACGTGTAATTCAGCTAATTATTTACATTTTGATATATACTTTTAATCATACTTTTATCATGAATACCGTTTATCTATACTTTTACTGAGACCTTGCCAATCTGTACGAGCACCCGAACGTTCTTCACCTTGCTTGCACTCCATGGCGGCGGCTCGGGAAGGGGACGCTCTCGCGCGAGCCCACCACTCTGTCCGTCAGCATCTGAACCTTCCACGTTGGCAAAGTTGAGCGATCGAAGAAGCTCTTTCGCCCGATTGCATCTCAATTTGATTTCCATCAAGAAGATGATGGATGGTTTCTTCTGCTGCACAACATCTTTCAAACACTGCCTTGTAGCAGGGTTTCCAAGACCTCTGCAATTTCAACTGAGAATACTCATCTTCTTCCAGCAAAAATCCGAAGTTCCAACAGGGAACCGGTGCCGTTATCGGAAATCACCACCGGACAAAGAAGCAAAACCCTAGGCGGCTACGCCGTCCTTGGAATTCCGAAACCTAGAGAGCTTGTGATTCGTTTATCATTAAAAAATACTTTTCACTCCCAATCTCATTTTGCAAAATATACTTTCTTTTTTGGGTTATTACAAAAATATGATCACTTTTCTAAATTAGACTCCACTAAATTTTTAGTTTCCCACTTTGTCTCTTTATTTATCATTTATTAATTTATTTCTTGTGGATTCATCTTATTCTTTCTTACTCTTTGGAGTTTAGAATTTTAAAACAACCATTTTATCCTTTATTTTCTTAAAATCCACATCAAATCTAAATGCATCTTAATTACAGGGATAGATTATGAGGTAGATTTAGTAATTAAGTTATGCCTTCGGTGAGATGTTCTCAAAGAATTTGATGCCCAGTTTGTACATTACTTCAAAATCTTTTGACTTTGTATCCCATTTAGAAATTTTTCGTTCATAATATCATTTGGAAAGTCAAATTCCTTCCATTGCTATTTTCTAGAATCATGGTTCACTTAACAAGTCCATCATCTTCTGTGTTCAAAATGCTAAATACGTGAAACTAAAAGAGAAGAAGATAATATGCCGAAGTATTTGTTTAAATTAAAAAAAAAATCTTTTTCGTTTAAATCTTTTTTGTTTATGCTTTATCACACAAAGGCTGAAAAGAGAAGAAAGGCGCGATGAGCAGTCAAGGTGTGTGGGAGCATTTGCCTCTTTTGTTGAGAGCCAACTCCAAAGAATCGGTGGAATACATACTTCAAGCCCTGTGGAGGACTCGCAAGACAGGTCTCGACGCCGCAGACCGCCAAATTATCCGGGAAATGCTCGACCTCCCCACTGATTCCGACCTTGACCCTGTTCGTCTTTCCCTTCCCTTATTAGTTATCTTCCTTCTACTGTGTGCATATATGTCTATGAATTTGTGCTTTTTTCCTTTTATTTTGTGGGGAGTTGGGTGGGGAATAGGGGATGAGTATGAAAAGTGATTGACTTGTTGAGTGGGTAAAGGGTAAAGCTTTCTGATTAGTTGTTATAGATCAATGATCAAGTGCACGTAATAGTTTATTCTGATGAAGTGATGAACCTGTTTTTTGTTTTGGTTTCTAATTTTGAACTTTTATGAAATTCGACTGCTTACATTTCAGTTCTTTTGGGTATTTGTATAAAACGGACTACTTTAGCAAAAGTAGAGAGATCACATTTGTGCAAAAGGTGGTTGGAAATCTGGGGCAGAAAGGGTTTTAGAAACCCTCTGTGATAGCCTCTCAAACAGTCAAACATCTTTTGAATTGATAAACTTTCATTCCTAAATATGTAATGTCATATGTCAATGTTGAATATATAATTTTTCCAACGATGTAGTAATGTAATGTAATACTAGGTATATTATTTTCTTATAAAGATTTTTTGGTTCCAACCAGTACCTTACTGTAATGTACTACTTTTTTTTTGGGGGGGGGGGGTAATGTACTACTTAATACATTAGTATTTGATAAAGGTTCAAGCTGTAAGGTGTAGAAATGGAATAGGGTCACTCGGGTCGTACAAGTAGTTAAATCAGGGTGGTGTACACCTTACACAATGGCCAACATATGCTTATTCCTCTTTATGAAAATTTTAACTTCTTTGAGCTCTTATTTGTGAGCATTGACAAATCTTTCTACATTGAACATTCTAGGATGTGAAATTTTCAGTGTAGAACTGTATTCAAAACACAAAATTGGAAAAGAGAAATTTTCCCACAAATGAAGGGTAGCAGGAGCAGGAATGCAAGTGTTGCTCTACCCAACAGAAATTTCATATCTTGATCCCCAAAGTCATGCAGGGTGTAGCTTTACGCATTAAATAATGTTTTTAAGTTTTAAGTTAAAGTTTTGCTTATATTTATACATTACCTCCTCCTCTAGAAGGTTTTCAATTTCACTGTTTATATGCCCAACATAATTCCTTTTTTATTATCTGAGTTTGTTTATCATTTTTTCTTCATGTTTGAAATTGTGTTTATTCTTCAATAGAAATTTCACTGGGTTGCAAAGTATGTAATTTTCAACAGTTAATATTAATTTCAATATTCTTAGGGGAAAGTTAACTTCATCTTCATAGACCATAACTGGCAACCCAATTTAGGACGAAGGTGTTAAGAGTTTTGCTCGGGATAGGGGATATATATGGTTTTGAAGCCATTAATATTGATTGACGTTTACAGGTTTCAGCTTTGAGGTGCTTAAAGTTAAATAGAAGCACTATTTTTAGTTTTCAACGCTTGATGTACCCACTCTTATACCAACCATGTTTGTCAAGATTTTTTTTTTGGTCTGTGTGTGAATCCGATTCACAGACAAAATATGTGCTATTTTGTTTGTGCAAATTTTGCACAAACAAAATATTGTCCGTAAACGGAAATCACAGACAAAAAAAGTCTTGCACAAACATGGTGGGTATAAGGGTGGGTACAAATAGCTTTTTTGTTTAGTTTTTTCTTTAAGCAAAAAACTAAGTGCAATTTCAAGCAATGGAAAATGCTGTTCAAGTGTTTTGCTGAGGGGATATGGAGTGTATATGATTTGGAAGCAGTTAATGTGAAATATTTAGTTAGTGAATGGGCTTAATCTCCCCTTCTGGCAAATGACCTGATAGATGTTTGGGGCTCTACAGCTTTTGGTGTGCCTGCGCATTTTGATGCGTAGATGCGTGTTTGCGGAGGTAGGGAAGGATGAAATTCAGAAGCTGTTTCCGGATGGGGTCCTGCCTGAGTTGCAGAGATTGCTTACACTTCTGTTCCAAAAATTTCAAAAGGAGTGGCGAGAAGATGCCGTAAATGATCGGGTTAGAATCCACAACTCATCGTTTAGCTTATCATGAACTGCTGTATGCTATCCTTCTGAATAGGTATGACAAAGATTATTTGACCTCTTTGTATGTAGCGGCAAGCTTGCCCCATTTAGAGATGATTACTTGGAGGAGGGGGGTGGGGGGCTGAAACTCAAGACCCTGTCGGTGTACTCCTCGCGGTCTAACTTTAATGAAACCTTGAGATGATGAGGAATAGATTGAAGACTGATGATGCATCTCCCTTCATGATGGTGCATCTTCTATTTCATACCCCTCAATGAGTCAATGCCCACAGGGCCACAATGCATATGCAATGACATCACTATTAAGAGACTTGTTTATGTTTTTGTGATTCAATATGTTCTTATGTAGAGCTTTAATTTATTTGTATGAACTTCATTCACACATGTTGGAGAATTTGCCATTGTTGCAGTAGGGATTTAAGAGTGTAAAAGAAAAAAAAACAACTCAAGTCTCTTTCAGTTTTTATTTATTCATTATTAATTGGGGGTGGGGGTAGGTTGGAATTGGGAGTTGAGAGTCCAAATTCAAACAAGGTCTCCCTATCTTGGATATTCTTCCAAATCTTGTATTTTAGCATTGCTATTTAAAAAAAACACAGTAGCATTATTTTTTTATAATATAGAAAATAAGGCTATGTTGGAGTGTTGCACTAGGGGTGGACCTGGTCTGCGGTCCTGCCCGGTACGGAACTTTGTCCAGCACTGTTTGGGATCTGTTTTGGGTCTGGGGCCGCCCATAGTCTGCCCAAGCATGTAACCTGGTCCCGGTTCACCTGTTTTGGAACCGAACTGGGTGGGCATTTTTTTTGGCTTGGAAACGGGGGAATATAGAAAAATTAGAACGGGACCACGATCGGGATTGGTCCGCCCGAGTACTCGGAACTGGCCCAGATCTGGATTTAACCAGGTCAGACCCGGGCTTCTCCTACCAATGACTGGGACTGACTGGTCCGAGACCGGGTCCACCCTATGTTGAACATGTAAATGATTATATTGAAATAAGTGCGTGGGAAAATTAGTTTTTAGTCTTTCTCAGAATGCACCAATGAAAATAAAAAAATATGGGAAAATTGTCAAATTGGTCCTCTTACTATCATAAAAAATTCAATTAGATTCTCGTACTTTTTTGTGAATCAATCAAGTCCACCAAGTGTTAGAAAACAATCAATTTTGCTATTTAGCCGGTCGAGTATGGAAACTGCTGGTCAATGCTGATATGGATACCTATGTGGCAATAAATTTTATTTTTTCCTTTTTCTATTAGTTTTTCTTTCTTCAAGCTGACCAGACCCTTCGCTTTCCTTTCATTTTTTTGCCGTTCACTTTCTTCCCCGCCCTGTTTTTCCGTTTTGCCCCAAATTCTCTCTTTTCCCATTTTCTTTATCTTTTTTCCTTCCTTCCCGGTTTTCATTCTATGGATGGGCGTCGCAATCGGAAGTTGAAGAATGTGTGGCCGACGGGAAGCGGGCGGCGGCTTGGGAAGATATTTGAGACAGACCGGCAGTCGTTGGGATAGTTGTTGTGGGCGACGAGCGGCGGGAGACGGTGTGTGGGGAAGTTGAGGGCGGCGGGAGATGGGCGGAGACAGGTGGTTAGGGTGCAGGGCTGTGGGCGATGGGTGACAGATTGAAGATGGGTGGGCGACGACTCGCGCACGACTGCACTCCGGCGATCGGCGACGCGGGCGGCGTTTGGGGAATTGTGGGTGGCGTATGGCCGGTTGAGGTAGTTGTGGGTTTCAGAGCTTGATGTTCTTTACTGGAAATAAATAGAACAAGAATGATTGAATGAAACAAAAAAGAGACATAGAAATGAAGTGATGCGCAGAAGGGAAGAACGCAGAGGGAAGAAGTTGTCTGGCACTCTGGCAGGAAGAAAGAAAGAGAAAACAGAAAAAGGGAAAAGAAAAAGGAAATTAAAAACAAAACAAAAAAATCATGTGGATTGCCACGTCAATCGGTTAATAAAGTAATTTGATTGTTTTTAAACACGTAATGGACTTCCATTAAAAAAAAACACGTAATGGACTTGGACTGAGTCACAAAAAAGTAGTAGCACAAGTATCTAATTGACTTTTTGACTTTTTGATAGTAGTACAAGAATCTAATAGACAGTTTTACCAAAAATATTGATATATCTAAGGGAGTATTTCGAGGACTGCCTGTCAAACCAGATTAGCTTCACTTCAGTTTCACCCATTAGGTAAACCATATTACCATAATACAACACTTAGGACCCGGGCCGGTTCCGGTTTATGCCTGGGCTCGACCGGGCTTTTGTTTGGGAAGTAGGGAACCGGAACCGGCCCGGGTGACCGGTGGTTCCAGACCGGCGGGCCGGTTTCCGGTTCAATTTTTTTTTTTTTTAATTTTCTTTTGTTTTTTCTAAATTACCTCTGACCCCCCTTCATCCCCACCCCCAAAAAACACCCAGCCCTACCCGGTAGAAACAAAAAAAATTGAAAAAAACAAAAAAAAAATACAAATTTGGCCCGAACCGGTCGGGCCGGTTCAACATTTTCAAGGCCCGAGCCCGAACCAGGAGTTGGGCGGTTCCGGTTGGCCCGAACCGGCCCCAAGACCGGGTACCAGGCCGAGCCGGGTCCAAACAGTATCGGGCCGGGCAGCCCGACCCGAGTCCACCCCTAACAACACTACAACCAAATATTCGGTCTCAGAGATGCTCTATTAAGGTAGAAACAAGTTGGAGAAATCATGTTTGTTATTTTAACTAAATTTATGAAAATAGGAGAAGTTTTCCAAAGAGAAAAGTACTGTATTTCCTTCATAAATAAGAATAAAGTATTAGTCTTCGGAAATTGTATTGAATATATGATCTCAATATAAACGTATTCAATCTTGTTTCAGGGCCGGTCCTGGGGCATGGGCAAAGGGGCATGCGCCCAGGGCCCATTGCTCCCTTTGGGCCCATAAATTTCCCAATTATACATACATATATATATATATATATATATATATATTATATATATATACTCATATGTATTTTAAATTTATATACATTATATTATTTATAAAAATTTAAAATAAAATAAAACTTATATTTTTTTTTATACTTTCAATTCTTTATTCAATAACATTTACAAGATACAAGTCTAAAGTTTTGTAACATCCACACCATAATTAATTGGGAATAAAATTCATCATTATTTGGATTCATTAAGGGTTAGCGCATAAATGTCAATCTTTCCATTTACTTCTCTCATGTAATTCCGTGATTCATTGATAGGATTTTGCTAATTTCTTTTGGCTCTCTCATGTAAGTGAAAGACTGAATTATAATATTTAGAATTTTGAACCTTTCAGTTTGTTTTGATCTAGTGAAAATATGATTTAAAATATGAAAACATTACTCCATAAATGACATAATTTTCAAGTCTTTCACTAATTCAAAATTCTATATTGCAAGTAACAATTGCACTACTTAATTTTACATACATTTTTTTAATAAAAAATTATAAACATCCCCATGTTGTTCGCAAGGTCTACTTTTCATGTATTGTCTCGGGCCCATAAAATGTCAGGACCGGCCCTGTCTTGTTTAGAGGGAAAATAGAGTACTTTAAGGAAAACGTCTTGCTTTTACTCTTGTTTCTAGTCCTATACTCCTATTTTTCTACTGGTTCGATGTTTTGGCTCAGGTCGGTTCAAGCCTGTTTATTTTTAAATGTTTATTAAACATTTTTTTGGAAGCAAATGTTTATTAAATACGTAGTATAAGAGTTAGAATTTCTGCATATCAATTGAGTTTTTTCCCAAAATAATGTTGAATAAAAAAATATTTCCCAAAATAAGGTAAGGTTAAAAGTATTTCCCAAAATACTGTTATCTAAACCCTAGTTAATAGAGCCGCCACTTGAAGTGGCGGCTTATATACAAAACGAGTAACGCAAGGCGCAAGAGCACGCACGCACGCAGCAAGACAAATACGACCCACCAATAAATGAAATCATATTTTTATTTAAAAGTGATATAACTTTTTCATTTGTACTTTGATTCTTACCAAAAATATATCAAAATTCATATCTTTTTATTATCTTTCATATGACACCAATATTCGATATATAAAAATCAAAAAATAATTTAACACTTTAATTTTTTTTGTAAATGTTATATCTTTTTTTAATTTTACTCCGATTGTTACAAAAAGTATATCTAAATTCGTAATTCGTTCTTATCTTTCATAAGACACTAATTTTGAAGATATGACTATTAAAAAATTAATTCTATTAATTTTATGGAGTTTATGATCGCTTTTTATCAATGTTCTAAAAGACACTAGGCGCTAGTCGGGCGCCAGCCCAGCGCCTAGGCGGGCGCCTAGTCGGGGACTAATCGGGGACATAGAAATTGCATTTTATCTATATTTTTGCATAAATATAATAAGTAATATTGTAATTTTTTTGTGTATAAAAACATATACATATACATTAACAAACATGAATTATAGAATTATCACATTTAATCATACGTACTATACGTGATAACTAATCACTTAATTTTATTATGTTATAAATATGAATAATGATAAAATTTGGGTATATGTACAAACATATATAGGTTTATCTTAACTCACAACTTCAATTCTTTAGATCCATGACTATAGTTAAAATACATATAGCGGTTAGAAAATTAAAATTAAAAAGTAAAGTACTATTCGGCGAATCTAGACGGCCTAGGCGGCCGATTAGGTGCTCTAGGCGGGCAACTAGGCTCCATGTGCGGCCGAATAATTCACCTAGACGGCTAACCAATTAGTCGGAGCACCTAGACAAAAATCGTGGCGCCCGACCACCACCTAGCGTCTAGGCGGGGACTAATCGGACGCGTAGAACGATTTTTAGAACAGAGCTTTTTACTGTGAACAAAATAATCAGTAGTGATAGTATAATAATCAGACTACAAATAAAAAGACATAATATTTATAAAAAAGATACTTTTATAGTGTTAAATGATTTTTTATTTTATATATTGAATATTGGTGTCATATAAAAGATAATAAAAAGTTGTGAATTTTGATATATTTTTTATAAGAATCAGAGTACAAATAAAAAAGTTATATCACTTTTAAATAAAAATGGGAATTCATTTATTGGTGGGGCCCTATCTCCATGTTGTCTTGCTGCGTGCGTCCTTGCTCCTGCCGTCCTGCGTTACTCGTTTTGTATATAAGCCGCCACTCGAAGTGGCGGCTCTCTTAACGAGAGTTTAGGGAGCAGTATTTTGGGAAATACTTTTAACCTAACCTTATTTTGGGAAATATTTTTTTATTTGACATTATTTTGGGGAAAAACTCATATCAATTATCAAAGATAGGACTAGCACATATTTATTGACAAATAATGTTTGCAATTTTAATAAATAATGTACTGAAATGAGGATAAATATAATATACTCCATACATGATGTATCAATCACGTTACACTTACATAATTAGCCATTGAAAGCCTAAAAAATATCCAAATGGGATGGGAATAGGGATGGACTGGGATGGCTCAGCCCGACCCGATATTGTTTAGGACCGGCCTTAGGCCCAGCCCGGTGACTGTAAGGGAAGGCTTCAGGCTTGATTTTTTGGGCCCGGTCCGGGCCTGACTGCACTATTTTTTTAATTGAATGCCCAGCCCCGTCCCAATGCCCAACCCGACCCGGTACTGTTTGGGCCCGGCCCGACCTGACCCGGTCCCGTTACAAACCTGGGCCGGTACCAGTCCTGAAATCTCTAAGCCCGAAGCCCGCCCAGTCCCGGCTCGGTCCCATCACGGTCCATCCCTAGATGGGAACCCAGGCCAGCTGCTGACCAGTCCCGGGTATGAACACATGAAAACCCGGATTCTACCCAGCTTGAACGAATTCTAAGTAATGGTTCCAGATCATGCACTTTACTCCCCAGTTCCGGTACAAGATTACAAGAACCGATCTATATGTGCAAGAAACCAATGTACTTCACCTGACTCCTATTTTACATACAACATGGCAAATATCATTTTTCAAGTCTAACACAATTTACAAATCATAGATACGAGGACATGCTGGTGTACATCCTCTGCATGTTCATGGCTTTAATCATGTTGGACTTGGCTGAATCCAGTAGTGGATCATGCAGGATTGCCTGGTCGAAGCAGAACTTTGCATCATCCCACTTGCCCTCAGCAACAAAAACAAGACCTAAGTTGTTATATGCAGGTGCATAACCGGGTTGCAGTTCAAGAGACTTTGTTATCATTGCCTTGGCAGACTCAAAATCTCTTAGCTGACGATAGAGATTACCCAGGTTGGAAAATATTGTATGAGCTTGTTGAGGGGTAGCCACTAACAAAGCTTGTTTATATACATCTTCAGCACATGAAGGCTCAGCTGATAGTTGCAATGAGATACCTAGCATTTATTATTATATATAGTGTCAATATTGTGATGCCCACTTGTGTATGTAATATATAGGAAACAGCAAAGTGAGCAAACCAAAAACATTTCGTCCTCCATGGCTCCTTTCACATACAAGGCCAGCACATCATTGTTCACAGTTTTATGACATGAGTGTTCGGGACCTTTGGCCCCTGAAATAATGAATTAAGCCTTGGGCCTGAAGTTAACAGCCTGTAAAACCTTCTGTAGCCAGCCAACCCAGCCGGCTCTTGTTCATTGTATTTTTTCTTTGTTTAAATATACTTTGAAAAGAGAGATGATTACCAAGATTTGACCAGGCATAGCAGCTCCTAAGGCATGCAGCTGCAGTCTTGAGGTACTTCTGTGACATTTTAAACTGCTGGGTACAGAGAAAATGAAGGCCAAGTTGGTGCCAATGAATGGCATCTTCAGGATCTTCTGCAACAGCCTTTTCACATGAAATAAAAGACAATATAAAAAAACAGCTGATCACCCACTGGCCACTACCCCTTCAAACCAGCAATACATGGAGAGAATGCATGGAAGGAAGGATAAAGATTATTATTATTGTCATCATTATTATTGTTATTATCTTTTATTATACTAGTAACAATAATATTTATAGCCATAGAAAGCCAACAACCATCCACATCAAGGGGAACCCAGGATACAGAACTAGTATTCTCCCCTACAACGACCAAACCTAACCTAACCACCGTACCCTTCGAGGATCTTGTAGCTGAGATCTACGACCGTATACTAGACGTGGAAGAAGCCAACCTCACTCCTCTTCAAAAAGCCCTTCTCCATGCTCTAGATACACAGAACACATGCCGTGAAAGTCTCCGTGGCACTAAACGTTCACATGAGGATCCTGATGATTCGGATTCTCATGAGGGGGAGAACAAGCGCCAGCGGATACTTGAGCATGTTGCTTCTACTAGCCAACCCTCAAAACCAAACCAACCCTCCACCTCTACCAATGAGCAACCCACTACTTCAGCTAGCCATAAATGTAACGCCCCTCTCAGGGTTAAAAGAAACGTTACACTAACGTACTACTTTTAAAAATAACTCCAATATAACGGCCGTCTATTTAAGAATAACCCTGATAAAATCTATGATATAACTAAAATAACTCCAAATAAAAACTTAATAAAATAGTTATCACCAACAAATGTAATAACCACCTGGATCCAGGAATTTATTAAAAAATCAAATTCTCAAATAGACTAAAATAATAATAATCTTTTATAACACTGAAATACTGAAACAAATTAATATCTAGCAAAAAGCCGCCAAGGTCGTTCCCGTTAACTCATCTTGCCACACGTTCCACTCCCTCATCATCTTCCTAGGCCTTGGCCTTACCCTTAGTATCTGTACGACGACTGTACATGCGAAGAAAGAAACGTGATAAGCTTTACGCTTAGTAAGTCACTATGGATCCACAAAAATATCTAGAAGTCTATGCCAATTTATCAATAGATAAATTTAGACTATAACCATGCACTGAACAAATAACTATCACATAACTTCTCAAATACATTCTGAGTGAGATCTCAAAAGGAAAGTATTTTCTAAAATAATTTTTCAAAACTGCTCGAGAGATCTCAAAATTTTCATTCTCAAAACATCTCTGTAAAACCTTCTGAAAGAGATCTCAAAACAACTTTCTGTAAAACTTTCTGAACGAGATCTCAAAAACAATTTTCTGTGAAAACTTTCTGAAAGAGATCTCAAAACAACTTTCTGTGAAACTTTCTGATAGAGATCTCATTAACAACTTTCTGTACTACTCTTTGTGGCTAATTTTACTCTGTGGGCCCGTGATATGTACTCAAAGGCGCCAATCCGACAGCTCAGGGGAGCGACCCACTAAACATATCGGACTCTCTGAAACTGATAACTGATAACTCTGTGGGAACTTGTTCCCGAGTACATATCACTTAATCTTTCACTTTAAATATTAGTTCTTTTTACGGTGACGTTTAGATAAAAACATCATTAAAATCTTGAAATAAAAGTACCGACATAATCTTGACTATGCCAGATAATAAACATAACTTAATATGACAAATAAAATAACTCATCAAAGAATTCACCAAGCTCACATAATAGCATATAGTCTAAAATTATCTATTAAAAATCAACCAAACTTCTTTCTTTCATTTGGTTGAACAAACATGTACAGGTGGTAGTGAACTTACCTGTTAGAAGCTGAACTCAAATTACTCAACTAAGTGTGACACCTTGATAACGTCTCCCGGCAAGCTCTTCACTTAAATCTTTATTTAGAATAATCAAAATTTAGAATGTGGTTTTAATGAGCCAAATAGCTAGAACTTTAAATTCAAATTCCTACTTTAAAAACCACAAACGTGATCAAAACCGACCCTTTAAAGTCCCCCCCACCTCCCCACTTTCACATAGTTTTTGCACTTTTATGATTTGATTTCAGCCTTGAAGATATTCTAAGAGCCATGATGATATTATTGGAAGGTAGGTGTGTGTGGCTGTGTTTAATATTCTATTTTACCAAGAGCATCTCTTTGCAGAATGTTAAGATCAGATGAGACCCTTTCAATAGGTTAAGTTTTTGTTTGATTTGTTGTTTTCTAAATTTATGTTTAAAACTTTTGTCATGGTTATTATGTTATGACTTTTTGCTTAACAGTTGTCATTTGTTTCCGTATAACTCAGTGGCTTGGCAAGTCAACATTTCAGTTGAGCAGCTTTCAATTTCCGCTATTAATTATCAATCAAGCTGAATAAGAGAGCCGTAATGTGAACACATTTGAAAACATGGATGAAGAGTGTCAAAATAATTGCATTGGTGAGCAAATTTTGTGTTCACCAGAACAGCATTGGATGAACACATTTTTGGAGGAACATTGGTGCTTTTAAATCTAGCTGATAGTCACTTCAACAAATAAGTATAAAATTTTGAATGAGTAACGAATTTCCCCTTTGTTATTTATGTCAGGGACTGTCCACCACGTATTGTATCCATCCATTTCCAGCCTATATATGGATCTAATAGAAGGTGGGATTCAAGTCAAGATGATAAAAAATGCAAGAAGAACTGAAGTGGTATGTCTTTTCTCTTTTCTTTTTCCGATGTTTTAATCCTTTTTAAGTGTTTAGGTAGTGCTTATATGTGATTTTACCATATAGCATTTTACAGAGTAAATGATGAGTTTTAATGATGCTGCTAATTGAGAGATCATTGTTTGTAAGTATCTCGTCTCAGTTACCTAAGAGTCTAAGACTTGGACTGTTCTGGTATTTTAAATATGCCATCTGTTTTAATGAGCAAGGGATTTGGTCTTTTAGGGGCTGCCTTTCTTAGTTGCTATTTCATTTGGATGAAATCAATGCATCTTTTTAAGGTTTTTGGAGCGGCATGATTTCTGTTATGCAAGGGATGCTGTTTTCTCTCATCTATTTTTTTGTTTTTAGTGCATGGCATATATAGATATGTTTTGTTCTCCATTGATGTCTGTTTACCTCGTCTCTTCAAAAAACAACACTTATATTGTTCTGTAGGAACTATGCAAGTATATATGCACCATGGCAATGAGTACTTTTTTTTTAATTAATACTGATAAGATCATTGCTGAAATAATTTGAGTTAGATTATTGCTAAGATTATTATTGGTAATTAGTAGCAAATTTGCTACTAATTTTTCATTTTCTTTAATTATAGTTTCGTTTTTAACAGGTCATTTACTTTTAACATTATTCATTGTAGCTATTTAACGTAACTTGATTTTGTCTTTCAGATATTGAAAAGCCACCAACAAGTAGGAAGCACTATAGTCTCATGTTGAAGATCAACTAATTTAGTCATAGGTGGAGGGAGCTTATAGTAGTTAGAAGATCTCAAATTAGTTTATTATAGATTTAGTTGAGTTTGTGTTGGAATGTGTATGACATTTGAATTGTAAATGATAATTCTTTTTATTTTCAATAAAGCGTCTTTTAATTTTTCATACATTGTCATTTTTATATTTCGTGTGTATAGATAATTATATATAAATATAATTATATAAATATATAATCAACATTATGTGATACCAGTGTATCATGAATTTAATTGATACTAATGTGTCAAAATATAAAGTGATATTGTTTTGTCATAATGGTTTATGATACTTTAGTGTCATAAATTAGTGACACTTTACCAGTGACACTAAATTTAGTGTCACAATTCCCGACCTTCTATGACACTTTTCTAGTGTCAGAAAAACTTTTTGTGACACTTGTTTAGTGTCACTATAGACCATTTTTCTAGTAGTGTATGAGGTATTTGAAAGGTACTGCTTCTAATGCTTTGTGTTTTGATGGGAAGAATGTAGAGCTGCTGGGACATGTTGATGCAGACCTGGCATCGAATGACTCGGATGGATTGAGGAGCACCACCGGGTATGTTTTTATATTTGGTGGAACGGCAGTTTCCTGGCTTTCGCAGCTGCAGAAGATTGTTGCATTATCTACCACTGAAGCTGAATATGTGGCCATTACGGAGACAAGTAAGGAGATGGTGTGGCTTCAGAATTTACTTGGGGAACTTGGGAAGGAGTACAAGAATAGCATTCTTTACAGTGACAGTCAAAGTGCTATGTTCTTGGCCAACAACTCAGCTTTTCAAAAGAGAGCCAAACACATTCGGTTGAAGTATCACCACATCTGTCATCTTCTGGAGATAGAGGCATTGCCGCTTGTGAAGATCCGTGGGAGTGAGAATCCAGCAGACATGTTTACTAAGGTGGTAACCTTGGAGAAATTGAAGCTTTGCATAGCTTCAATTGGCCTGGGTACTTGAAGATGAAGGCCGGCGCTACCATGCTTACTAGGGAGGTTTGAAGAAGACAATCTCTAAGTGGGAGATTGTAAGGTGTTAGAGACAGTTTCTTAATTTATTTTTGGAAACACGTTTCTTAATTTATTTTAGGAAACACATCCTAGTTGCCTTGGGGTTAGGATTTACTTCTCTATAAATACAAGCTCTCTCCCTTGTAATCATAGCGTGTGGATCCGAAAATAGCAATAATATTCCTGGCTTGGTAGCGCCCCCAGACGTAGTCATTCGTGGCGAACTGGGTTACCAAATTTCGTGTGTTCTTCGTTATTGTTTTTTTTCGTGTGCGTAAATTAAATTTCTAACACGTTTTGATTCAATTCCAGGCATTAGGCGATCTGATTGGTTCTCTTTTTTTGGGAGGAAGAATGAGTTTGGGTAGCAAGGGCACGGCAACGATGAAGATGACCGCTAGCGGTGGGTTTGCTAAGAGCGCGGGACGAGGAGAGTTGCGCGGTTTTCAAGCAAGTCAGATGACGATTGACAATGGAGGATTAATTAGAATGGTACCAAGGATACGGCCTCCTCCGGAACCACCACCATGGGTTGTACGAGATGATAGAGTCTGTGAAAGTTTTCCTATTAGTTATTATTTTTATGTCAATTGGATTCTTGTTATCGTCTATGTTGTTAGGTTTGTCAGTTTGTTTGGGATTTCGGCCTTTTTTATGTCATTGAGTATGTTTGGATCTATGAGAATAGAGATGGTTGTGTCAAGCCCGCTACATGGTCAGCGATTCCCGTTGCTCTTTCAGGGGTGACCGTCTCTAAGTCTGATCATAGGGTTCACATTCGTAGTTGTTGGAATTTAGTTGATGTCAGTTTTGTGTTTCCTTTGACTGATGCGATGTTCTTGAAATTTATGATATGAAAGAAGGCTAGTTGACGATAAAAAAAACTAGTATATACCTACTAGATTAAAACAAGGCCGCCCCACCCTCAATATGCATCCATACACTTGGACATTTTAGTGTCTTCTTTAATTTAAAATGTATTTTTCTCAGCCCAAAAATAAGAGTGGCCCAATATTTCAACAATTTTGCTACAGGTACCCCAAACCATATCCCATTTGTACCCCATATAATCCACCCCCACTTTCTTCTTCCCTCCTTCCCTCTCTGCTGCATCCCCCCTCTCTTCCTCCTTCCCTCCCTCTCTTC